AAAGACAAAACAAACGTAACCGAAAAACATAACGCCATTTACATGTTTACTTGCAAAAACTGCCCCGACAGGTACATTGGACAAACGTCTAAGAAAATTCAGACCAGATTAACCGAACATCAAAACGCCATTAACAGACACGACCATAATTCACTCCCAGCCATGCACGCAGACGATAACGGACACAAATTTGACTGGTCTCAAACGAGATGCCTAGGACAAGCTACTACAAAACTGTCAAAACATACCCGTGAGTTTAAAGAAGCGTGGCATAGTATAGATAAACTAACATTTAACCGCCATATTGACATTCCTGTAATATACTTACAACTAAAACACTCACACAAAAGTCCTGTTTCGCCTTCATTAACCTTTAACCCACCCGCAACTTCCTTCTCAATATCAACTCACGATGATTGCAATCACCCGCACTCCATGGCAACCAATAACAATCCATCAGCCGAAATGCGTGATCAACCAATCAGACGTTCCCAAAGGCTTCAAGAATGAGAACAGCGCGAAAATTCAAACATTCCAACTTTCTGATGAAGGCTCGAAGTACCGAGTGAAAGCTCAAAACATTTAAACTAGAATCCAGAGAACTAAATAATTTGTAGAATTATTCAATTAATATATATATATATATATATATATATATATATATATATATATATATATATATATATATATATATATATATATATATATATATATATACATATATATTCCAAAGAAATTGTTTACCTTGACAGTGTGTCTGGTTTCCAGTAAATCCAGTGTCACATGAACATGCGATAGTACCAGGAATAGTTGTGCATGTCGAGTTTGATGGACAAGTATTGTTAATCGCACAATTGTCCTTGTCTAGAAAGAGAGAGAGATTGTTACAATAATGTTTGTGTAAAAGCAGTGCCAAAGCTAGGCAATGAATTGGCCATCGTATGCTAACGCACCTGCATCCAAGTGAAAGATCAAAGGTATGAAGAATGCAAATCATCACACATTTGCAGAGCAGACCTGTTGCTGTGGCCAGCTCGCATAATATAGGCCTTTATAATTGTTAGAAAATGAATCGTAGCACGTGATGTGGCGTAATTTCTTGAATGGTCGTTTTCTTTAGAAATTAAACCTAATTAACTGATGTTTGATTCTTATGACGTTGAACATTTCAGTAACATTATCTTACATACGTATCATTCTGTGTTGATGTAGGATGTGGATAAAGGACTGCATGTGCACTGCATGCCCACGGTGAAGCGAACAAATAGGCCTCCCAAGAAGGCGGCGTGACAAGACGTAGAAGATGCAACACGTTGATCGGTCTATATGTTTAGTGTCTGATATTCTTCAATTAATACTTTTAAATATAGGATTAACGGTCAATTTTCTTTAATTTATTGCGGGCTTATAACATAAACCCTAATGATTATCAACTAGGTATAAGTATTAATAAATATTGTTGCAAAATCTTTGTCCAAGGGGTAGGAAATTCTCCTCATTATATTCCAAGAAAACCTCAGCAATTATAAAAATAGGCAGTTACAAAAGATTCCGACATAGTGAAGCTATTTTATGTTAAAAACACATCAATGACTAATCGTATATATATATATATATATATATATATATATATATATATATATATATATATATATATTTGATCTTTCGACGAGCATGTCAATTCATTTATCTTGCAGAGTGTGAAAAACTTTGGCAGCTCGAAATAAAACCTTGATTATTTCCAAAACGAGTTCGGTAAGGTACCCTGAAAATTTGTACATGAGCAGATACATACTTCAAGATTTTATGATGGAAAAATAAAAAAAAATTGTCGACAGAAACTGTCAAAAAAGTCGAAATTTAATTGTAAAGAATTGAGTCGACAGATTTTTTTAAACTTCCCAGAAATGTTTCTCGACACTAACGTAACTGATTTGCTAAAAAAAATTGGGGTCACACAACTCATTTTTGAAAAAAAAAAATTTAGTGTTACCATTATTCGTTATAGTTGTCATGGAAACGCAACTTTTATCAGAATTCTTCTTGTTTGCGACACGTCTTACTATGTGTTACAATTATAAGTAAAACTTAACCCTGTAAAAGCATTTAAGAGGCTGTCTCTGTAAAAACCGCCCGCTCGAATTTCATTTCAAACATGATCTTCGCTAACACTCTGGCAACTGGAAGGCTTTACCAAACATAAAATAAAAACAGTCTCGGTTTGGTTGAAAACGATTTTCCAGTCGCGCTGCAAATAATGAAATATTCCCCCCAATTCAAGGCCTGTTGGGACGTCTCGAAAATTGAAAATTACGCATTTTTCATTGATCCGTAAAATATTATATTCGCGTCAACTAGCAATGAATTTTATATCATTTCACTCATGAAACTTTCTAGTTTTCTTGAAGAAGAGGAATTTTTACCTAATATTAGTTGTAGAGGAAAAATTAAGCACAGTGTAAACCCTACTTATGACTATAAATCAAAGAGTGGAAATGGCCTTGATTTAGATTCTATTTTTCAAACTTTGGGACCTTGTCAATTGCTCGGGCCTATTTTTCAGGGAAGTATAGTCCTTTGTTGACAAATATATGCAAAAAACCCTGTACGATTTCAGTATTTCAAAAGTTATGGCCGTTTGCATCAACACACATGCGTGTATTTGCGATGAGTCGTCATATTATAAAATCACTCTATCTCGTGCAGATTCTAACTTAAATGCAACAATATACAGCTTACCTCGTTACTAACTCAAGTTTATTTCCTTTTTAAGTCAATTTCCAATTCCTCACATGGCCGTTCCCATCATTAAACACAATAGTGCATGTCCTTCTCTTCCTCTTGATCTGTCCGACCTTGGTTGTTTCAGGTTGTTTCGAAACGTTACGTTGCTCAACTTGGCATATGTAAATATCCTTTCGAAACAGAATTTGTTCGAAAATGTTATGGAGCGATGAGTCGTCATATTGTAAAATCACTCAATATCGAGACATAAATACAACAATGTACAGCAGCTTCCCTGCTCTAGTCAAGATTAATTGCAACTTGTGTCGCGTGACCGAAATGTACAAGCTTTGCACCGCTAATTATAGAACTACTTTGTTTACGAACTTTTCGGTAAGCAGGATAAACATAGGTGTACGGGAGGAAAAAAATAGTGGGACGGACAATAGTTTGACCGATATTGAAGGAAATTTTCCAGGAAATTTGTCCGAGGGATGGGGGGAGGCAAAATTTTCAAGATTTAATATGAAGACTTAGAATAACGAAATATAAAAAAGGCTTCACACGGCTTTTAAAATACAGTCTGGCGGTAATGAGAATCAAAAAAATTATTTTATGTGGCCTACTGTAAGCTTTCCTTTCATCATTTGCCCGATTTTTAAGCCGAACTGCCAGGATTTTAAATAGAATCTGCCCGACAAAAAAATACTGGGGGGGGGCAACCCCCAGTGGTACGCTTATGAGAATAAATTAACAGGCCGTAGTCAGCAATTTACACGAATTACACCTATTCTGCATTTTATACTTGGTCTGCTGGCATTTGCTGCGATCTATGGCTTTCTTTCCTCAATACCCGGGTTAGAGGTTTATTGGTTTATGGGGGTCGGGATTATTCTGATATACTAAAATGAGGGTTAGATGAAGTCTATACCGCTAAGGAAAGTTGAAGTAGGCGAAGTCAAGTAAGTGCCAGAATGCATGTTATATTCATGATTAAAGTTAACAAGAGTTTGGTATTAATATTATATTTGTATTTATTTTTATTTATATTTGATAACTGCTAACCGTTCGCATACTCTACCAAAGGCTAAGAATATCAATATATTTGCAGATCGCAGATTGCAGCAAATGCCAGCAGACCAAGTATAAAATGCAGAATAGGTGTAATTCGTGTAAATTGCTGGCTACGGCCTGTTAATTTATTCTCAGAGGTGTACCACTGGGGGTTGCCCCCCCCCCCCATATTTTTTTTTGTCGGGCAGATTCTATTTAAAATCCTGGCAGTTCGGCTTAAAGATCGGGCAAATGATGAAAGGAAAGCTTACAGTAGGCCACATAAAATAATTTTTTTGATTCTCATTACCGCCAGACTGTATTTAAAAGCCATGTGAAGCCTTTTTTATATTTCGTTATTCTAAGTCTTCATATTAAGTCTTGAAAATTTTGTCTCCCCCCATCCCTCGGACAAATTTCCAGAAAAATTTCCTTCAATATCGGTCAAACTATTGTCCGTCCTATTATTTTTTCCTCCCGTACACCTATGTTTATCCTGCTTACCGAAAAGTCGTAAACAAAGTAGTTCTATAATTAGCGGTGCAAAGCTTGTACATTTCGGTCACGCGACACAAGTTGTAATTAATCTTGACTAAAGCAGGGAAGCTGCTGTACATTGTTGTATTTATGTCTCGATATTGAGTGATTTTACAATATGACGACTCATCGCTCCATAACATTTTCGAACAAATTCTGTTTCGAAAGGATATTTACATATGCGAAGTGTGAGCAACGTAACGTTTCGAAACAACCTGAAACAACCAAGGTCGGACAGATCAAGAGGAAGAGAAGGACATGTACTATTGTGTTTAATGATGGGATCGGCCATGTGAGGAATTGGAAATTGACTTAAAAAGGAAATAAACTTGAGTTAGTAACGAGGTAAGCTGTATATTGTTGCATTTAAGTTAGAATCTGCACGAGATAGAGTGATTTTACAATATGACGACTCATCGCAAATACACGCATGTGTGTTGATACAAACGGCCATAACTTTTGAAATACTGAAATCGTACAGGGTTTTTTGCATATATTTGCCAACAAAGGACTATACTTCCTTGAAAAATAGGCCCGAGCGATTGACAAGGTCCCAAAGTTTGAAAAATAGAATCTAAATCAAGGCCATTTCCACTCTTTGATTTATAGTCATAAGTAGGGTTTACACTGTGCTTAATTTTTCCTTTACAACTAATATTAGGTAAAAATTCCTCTTCTTCAAGAAAACTAGAAAGTTTCATGAGTGAAATGATATAAAATTCATTGCTAGTTGACGCGAATATAATATTTTACGGATCAATGAAAAATGCGTAATTTTCAATTTTCGAGACGTCCCAACATGCCTTGAAGGGGCAAAATATTTCGTTATTTGCAGCGGGACTGGAAAATCGTTTTCAACCAAACCGAGACTGTTTTTATTTTATGTTTGG